CTAAACTGTTGGGATTTCATGCATTGGTAGCCAAAAGCTCCCTCAAAGGAAGAGAGAGTCCTGCAGCCTTATCTTAGCCAGATAAAGCCTTGTCACTGCTCAGCCCAAGGAGACAGAGAAGACAGTAGCATCTAAATAAAATTGGCTTTAGGGGCTTGGTTAGCTAGGAAGATGAAGTACCAGCACTGTGAAAAACCTCCCAGACTACCTGGTCAGCTCCATTCAGTTGTAGCCCAGAGTCACATGCCCAGGGACTTAATCCCAGTGAGGCTCAATATTCACACCTACCAACTTATCATGACCACCTAAGAACCCAACATGCAGTGCAGAAAATTTAAGAGAATGACTATACATTTTAAGTGCTTATCTTTGGGAAATTTTAGCTACATGCATACATGTGTATTCTGTGTATGTATGTGTGTGTATGTGTATAATTAGTATCTCTTCCATGCTGATGAAGATAAACTTCAGGTGATGACAATCACCCATCCTAACTGCAGGTAAAGTAATGAGTCTGATTGGAGAGAAAGGCTGAGTTAAATCAAAGCAGAAATCTATGGTTCTCTGGTATTCTGTGCTTCTTCACTAAATTTGCTTTTACACCATACAGTATTCCTTTTAACATATTGCAGGAGCAGCATCTCCCAGACTACCATTAGATTTTTTATATACTTATTTATTTTGTGTTATATTATATAAGCACATCAGGTGTAGTGCCAGATATGGTTTTGTTCACTAAGATTTCAAACTTACAAAGTTCTAAATGTTCAAGATTCTGATGAGATCCAGTTCAATGTTTTTTTGCATATAAGAAGCAAATAATCTTACCCAAAGAAAGCTATGGCTTCACCAGAAGGTAAGTCAAACTTTTTGGTGTTCCTTAAAATAAATTTTCCAAAGACTGCCATGTATCAATCCTACAAAGCATGCATGCTCATAAACATCAGGTCCAGAATCAGCATTCAGAGCAGAAAATTGTTATAATTTCAAAAGAGACTTTTTAAAAATGTGCCAAAGGATGCCGAACTTAATTATTTGATATAAGATCCTTTTTTATTTCTAAATGTGTATTTCTTATTGCCTACTTTTTATGGTTCATCTAATTGCATACAGAGAATTACTGTGGATAAAAAAGGCCATCCCTCCAATAGACACATGAAGAAATACTCAACCTCTCTAGCCATAAAAGAAATGAAAATCAAAACAACATTGAGATACCACCTCACCCCAGTTA